AGTTTGTGTACATTTTAAAAGTTTGACAAATTATAACATGCTAATGCAAAATAGTTTGATTTAATTTAGAATTGTTTTTTTTATTTATGATATTAAACGTGTTGCTATAATAGCTTATCGTTAAAGATAAAATAACAAATTTAATTGCAAAATTATTTCCAACCACATAAATGTTTCATCGTTTTAAAACGGATCTAAAATTTGCAAAAGTTTGCATGGATGAGATTAAATTGAATAATTCTTTCATCCCAAAACCAACAATATAGAAGTAGCGTTATTATTCTAGGACCATTGAGGCTATGTGCATATCTATTGTACAAGAATAAACAGTATTGAAAGATTTGACCAGATCTTTATCGGGCAAATTAAAAGAAAAAGAAGTATTCGATATTTTCGAATTATACAAACTACAGTATATTCTAATGAACTTATTATGTAAACTTACGGATCATAATATATACTGAGACTATAACTCGAAAGGGATTCGGTAATATAAATATTGTATTCATTAATTTTAAATGAAATTTGACTTTAATTCCTTTCTACTCCAAAATGGTTGAGGAAACAGCTTCTTTAAATACCATGCATTCTTTAACATACATAATTTTCTATTTATCAGGATAAATTTTTATTTTTTTGTCTAGGGCAAAAATGTCGTCGTCGAATTCTCCATGTGCAGCATGCAAATTCTTGCGTAGAAAATGCACACAACAAGAATGCGTTTTTGCGCCATACTTCCCACCAGATCAACCTCAAAAATTCGAAAATGTACACAAGGTGTTTGGGAGAAGTAATGTGGCTAAATTACTCAACGAATTAAACGCGACTCAACGGGAAGATGCTGCAAATTCCCTAGCATATGAAGCGGAATATCGTCTCCGTGATCCGGTTTATGGTTGTGTTGGACTAATTTCAATACTTCAACATAAGCTTAAGCAAGTTCAAGATGATTTATTGAATGCTAAGAAAGATTTAGCAACGTATATTGGTCCACAAGCAATGTTGCCAATGCTTCAACACTCTGGCTATATTCAACAGCATCCCAATAATCCCTCTTCTTCTAATATGATGGCTTATAATATGCAGCCAATGGGATTGCAACAACAATTAATGATGCGCGATCCTCAACAACAACAGAATCAGCAGCAAGTGATTATTGAAGATCATCAATTAGCCGCGGTAATGGCTGCAAGGGAACAGGAGATGATGAGAACTTATGAGCAACCACAACAACAGCAATTCAACAATGGATATGATTCTGCAGGTACTGTAATAGATTTTGGTACAACAAAAGTTATTTATATATATATATATATATATATATATATATATATATATTTCCAGTGAAGTATATTTCAAACATTATTGATAATATTTTCAAATTACCAAGTGTTTTGATGAAATTTTGGATACTAATGATTAGTTATAATAATGTGCAAGTGTTACTGCAGGATCATGTAATATAAAGTTAAAAATTAAGACAGCTTAGATGTCTTGTCCTTTGTTGGATAGGATAACCTGCTACCTATTGCTAGTGGGAGCTAATAAATATTCCATGGAATTAGTAGAGATGGAAAAGCGGGCCTGGACACCAGGATCATAAAAATTAGAATAGTTTAAAGAAAATCACTTTCATTTAGAAAACGGACATTTTTTAGCTCACACAAAAACACATCTATTAATGTGTTTTGAACTCTTATTTTAAGGAATTTAGAATTTATTAATTTTAAATCTTGAATCCGTCTCTGTCAACAGGGCCAGTAACCGCAACAGGATTTCATCAAATGAGTTCATCAGTATCACCTTCATTGGCATTGGCCTCATTTGACAATGATCCTTATCAGATTCAGCAAGCCCAGCAGGAGCAGCATCGCGGCCAGGTTCAGGTTCAGGTTCAGCCACATCAATTGCTTCAGCAACAGCAACAGCTACCGCAACAACCACAGACACCACAACAGCAACAGAGAGCCAACAGTGAAGAGGAAAGGGGCATTGGTCCTTCATATTAATGTTGCAAGTCAGTTGAAGATTTTTTTCTTCTAGCAATTTTTTTTTTAATCTTGGTAAGTACCTTTCAATGCTTTTCCTTCTTGTCTCTTTCATATTTTACATATGAGTTCAAAAAGTATTAATCCGTGATAACTCTATATTACTAATCTTCACTTAACTAATACTACTTGCATAATTAATGATATTGTTGTTTTACAGCAATGCCAAACAGGCTCGTAGTCGAAATACTTTTAATAATATTCCGCATTGTGGTAACTGATTATGTTTACCCAAGATCTTCTGAGTGCTGATCTTGGACCTAGTCATATATTCTAATGTAATAATGTAAATTTATTCTAAAACATACTTGGTCCAATATTGACCTGAATCATTAAGATTATTAATCAAATTTCAACTAGTAAATGTCAAATTTGCTGTTAACAGGGATTAATATTATAATTTAGAATTCAAATAAGATTGTGTACATTTTAGAAGTTTGACAAACATGCTAATGCCTAATGGTTTGATTTAATTTAGAATTGTTTTTTTAAAATAATAATTGAAATTTATGATATTAAATGTGTTGCTATAATAGCTTATTGTTAAAGATAAAATAACAAATTTAATTGCAAAATTATTTCCAACCACATAAATGTTTCATCATTTTAAAACGGGTCGAAAATTTGTAAAAGTTTGCATGGATGAGATTAAATTGAATAATACTTTCATTCCAAAACCAACAATATAGAAGTAGCATTATTATTTTAGGACCATTAAGGTTTTAATTTGTGCATATCTATTGTACAAGAATAAAACAGTATTGAAAGATTTGATCGGATCTTAATCGGGCAAATTAAAAGAAAATTTTTTTTAGATATTTTCAAATTATACAAACTATATTCTACTGAACTTATTATGTAAACTACGGATCATAATATTTACTGAGACTATAAATGGAAAAGGATTCAGTAATATAATATTGCTTTCATTAATTTAGTTAGTGCATTTCATATTGATTGAGTCATCCTCCAAAACATTTCTTCTTCGCCTTCATTCTTATTTGTCTAAATTATATATAAATATTTTTGATATAATATTTTCTACTTATCTAACAAACATAAAAAAATAAAATAAGAAACACATTTGTTTTTCTAAAATACATTTATGTTCATACTGAACACACCCTTTGCTAATTATTTATTTTAAAAATATAATCACCGCCATTTAAAAACGTGTAGAGTTGAAAATAACTTATTGCTTACTATACTTATTAGAGACTTTAAAGAATAGCATCCAAATAGTCATAGTTACTATGCTAATTTAGTATCTAATTAATCTTAGATGTACCAATAACATATATAATCATAATAAGTACGACTTTCAAATAAAAATACTTAATGCAGAACTATTAAGAAATTTTCTTTTCTCACGCACGTGAGAATATTGTACGACGTGTCTATATAACTTTATTATAATATAGTCACAGACTTACTACAGATATAACTCAGCAATAAATAAACTAGTAGTGGCATTGCTATATAGAAGTAAAGGGTTTAACTCAAAATTCTTCATTAAAAAATTTGATCGAGATGACTAATTATATTTATTTTATGTGAGGCGCATGTTAAATTATTCAAAAAAATCAAAGTCACACGAGTATAAGTGGTTTTTGGGTAGGTGGGAAATTCATTGAGCTGGTTTATTTATTTATTTTGGGGAAAGTTGGAAGTTTGTGGTTAGAGTAGAAACTACTCTAATGATTATATTTTATTTTATTTTTATTTTTTGGTTTGATATTCATATTGAAATTCGATAAATATGATTTCATATTCAGGGGCTGAAATCCGATATCTCTATTTAAATAGTATTTACCACTTCACCATAACCCTTATTGATAACGATTAAAATTGTATACAACAATAATGAAAACTTTAATACAATTAATATAATTTGACTTGTAATAATAAGTTAGTAATCATTTTTTACTAAATTATCGATTAATGTTAATACTAAAGATTTGTCTATAATTGTAATAATTACTTTCTTTATGGCTCTATACAATAATAGTTGTCAAGACTCGATCAAGATTATTAAAAATACTATCCCAGTTAAATTGTTATTTTACAAAAACAAGATGAAGCTATAATTTTTGTCTTATTTTATCTTAATAATAATTGTTCTTAAAATAAGATTAGTTTATAACATGTTGACCAAATTTTTGGTAGGCAAAAGTGCTTATTTTTTTCCCAAAAAAATAATTAAAAAGGTGAAGTATTTGATCAGATTTTTAAGAGAAAATAAATAATTTTGAGAAATAGCAGAAACTTTTTTCAGAAATTAAAGAAATAGTTTTTCTAAAAACTACTTTTTGAAAAATAATAATTCAAAAACAACTTAAAAACACTTTTTAAAAATTTGACCAATTATCAATAATCAATTCTCAAAAGTATCTTCCCTTTAAATTAATTAGTGAAACACAAATTACTTATAAAAAAACACTTTTTTGAAATTGTATAATTTTTGGGGAAACAAGCTATTAAGTAGTATTGTTCATTAATAAAGTACTACAATTTTCATTGGAAAGAGATAAAAAATAATAAAAATAATTTTTATTTATGATTTTTTTAAATAAAAAATGTGACAACTAATATGAGACATAGGAGAGTAATTTTTATGGTAGAGATTTTTGCATAATCAGAAGTTAATCTTGATTAGGTTTATATGATAGTAATTTAATTTTTTTAAGTGTCCTACACATGACATATGACTTTTAATAAGGGTAAATTTGGAATATGAATTTGTGCAGGGACAAAGAAGCTAATCAGATTTCACATTAGTCAGAAAGTCAGAATGGAGGTTTCTTCCTCTTTACGCGGTCACTACGACTCCTTTTTCACATTAGACCCCACTAATAGAATATATTTACACTCTTACCCTCTATATAATAAAAATGACCTCGACTAAATTATACTTGTCCATTTAATAATGATGTCTTTTCCTTTTTAATCTCTTGTATCTTTTCTCCCCCATCACTCTCAAATTCTGTCTCATATATTCATTTTCATAATTATAAAAACCTACAAGAATAATAAACGTGTTATCTTTTTGTTGTATTCTTTTGAAGATCGATCGGATCGACAAGAATGAATCTTCATTTTCTCAATTTTTTGTCATAAAAGTAAATCAAGCCCTTGTCGATTTTTCTATAATGTGTGACTCAATTAATTCAGATTCATATCGTGTTTGCAGAGTGGAAAAATCTCATTCATCTCATCAGTCATCACAACTTTGTGATTCTTGTTTCTGTTTTCACTTGCTATAAATAAATATTTTAAAAGTAGAAAGATATAAGTATTAATTCTTGTTTATGTTATTTTAATTCATTTTCTACTCACTCCATTTTTCGCAGATGATATGAATTTTAAGGAGAGAGAAAGACGAAGGATTAAAGTTTGATCTATAGTGGTTTTGAAAATACAAGGTGATATTTTCTTTAATTTTTTTGTTTTAATTTACCTCGTTTTGAGTTTTTGGATCTTGATTCCTGTGTTTAATTAATTTGTTTGTGAATTGGAAAAGATGTTGAGTTTGATAAGGAAACACAATAAATTTTGTGTTGATCTAAAGAGATTTTGATTCACTTACTAACTTTAGATCTTAAACTACAACAAGTTTCCTCTTTACATAACTGCCTTCTTTTGCTATTATTCTTAATGGATTTTGAAAATTTTAGGAAGAATTGGTTGTAACAGCAATTTTCTTACTAATCACTTCCCTATTACCTTGAATAAAATCAATTAAAATACCTCTTAATTTATTCTATTGATGATATAAATATATTTACTTGCCATGTTTGCTTCAATGTGACTTTAATGCCATGCATTCTTTAACATACATAATTTTACCATCTATAATTACTCCTCTATTTATCATACTGCAAAAATGCATTTTGTTATAAGTATATTTCTCAGATTTTAGGTCTTTTTTTTTTTTCTTGTCTAGGGCAATAGCAAGGCCAAAGATGTCATCGTCGAATTCTCCATGTGCAGCATGCAAATTCTTGCGTAGAAAATGCACACAAGAATGCGTTTTTGCTCCATACTTCCCACCAGATCAACCTCGAAAATTCGAGAATGTACACAAGGTGTTTGGGGCTAGTAATGTGGCTAAATTACTCAACGAATTAAATGCGACTCAACGGGAAGATGCTGTAAATTCCCTAGCATATGAAGCGGAATATCGCCTCCGTGATCCGGTTTATGGTTGTGTTGGACTAATTTCAATACTTCAACATAAACTTAAGCAAGTTCAAGATGATTTATTGAATGCTAAGAAAGATTTAGCAACGTATATTGGTCCACAAGCAATGTTGCCAATGCTTCAACACTCTGGCTATATTCAACAGCATCCCAATAATCCCTCTTCTTCAAATATGATAGCTTATAATATGCAGCCAATGGGATTGCAAACAGGGATGCAACAGCAATTAATGATGCGCGATCCTCAACAACAACAGCAACAGAATCAGCAGCAAGTGATTGAAGCTCATCAATTTGCCGCTGTAATGGCTGCAAGGGAACAGGAGATGATGAGAACTTATGAGCAACCACAACAACAACAATTTAACAATGGATATGATTCTGCAGGTTCTGTAACAGATGAAAACTCCGTTATTTAGTTTAAATATTGAGTTTATTATATGTGTTTTGAAGTCTTATATATTTAGAATTTTTTAATTCTAAATCTTGAATCCGTCTTTGTCTACAGGGCCAGTAACTGCAACAGGATTTCATCAAATGAGTTCATCAGTATCTCCTTCATTGGCATTAGCTTCATTTGATAATGATCCTTATCAGATTCAACAAGCCCAGCAGGAGCAGCATCGCGGCCAGGTTCAGGTTCAGATTCAGCCACATCAATTGCTTCAGCAACAACAACAGCTACCGCAACAACCACAGACACCACAGCAGCAACAGAGAGCCAACAGTGAAGAGGAAAGGAGCATTGGTCCTTCATGTTAATGTTACAAGTCAGTTGAAGGTTTTTTCTTTTAACAAATATTTTTAATCTCGGTAAGTACCTTTCAATGCTTTTCCTCCTTGTCTCTTTCATATTTTACATATGAGTTCAAAAAGTATTAAACCTTGATAATCTCTTTATTACTAATTATCTTTACTTAACTAATACTTGCATAATTAATGATTTGGATAGTTTTACCAGTTATACTATGTACTTAATTAGTAGTATTATAATTTGCAGGTTACAAAATCAGGCTTGTTAGAAGGTTACACTGTGTATTAGATCTTTTAGTGATAGTGTAAAATATTTAACTCGTCCACTATGATTGTGTCAGTAATTATACAATTTATGCATCTCTTAATAGATTGCCAAACACTAAAACATGCTTTAAAAACCTATAACCTAAGTGGCAACATTAACATTGGAATATTGTAGGTCCTTTCCTTATATTCAAATGGTTGAACTTTTTTTTTAATTTTTTTATATTAGTTCATACCTAAGCAATTTGCCGGAGGTAAACAAAGTCATTCCTTCAATTTTTAGGTTGCTTGACCTCTAGTGACTCTTCTCAATTATAAGAGGTTTGGCCCTAGCTCTCTTTTCTTTTATTGCAAAGAAAAAAAAAGGATTATGTGGCTTGCACTCTTTCCTCTCTTCGAGTACTTCACTTTCTTTGTTAAGCAAGACATTTAGTTTTTTTCGTACAAGCAATATACTTGAAAAAGAGTTCTCTGGTGTGAGGTATAAAGTATAATAATTTCAGGATAAAATGTATGTATAATTATTTTATCCCACGTTTGGTTGGAGGTATTAGGTAATCCTTGGATTATTTATTCCACCATTTTTGCTTCAGGATAAGTTACCCATATACATATTGAAATAATTTATCCCAAAATAGTTAACCCAGGCTCCAACCAAACAACCCCTTAAGTACTTATATCCCATATAAAGGATTATTGCATCGCCGTTGCAATTTAAACAACGACATATTCAATGTAATTTCGTAAGTGAAATCTAAAAAATAATAGAATACACACAAAACTTACTCTGTTATTACCAGTTATACTGTTTTATTACTCTATTAATCAAATTACTATCATAGTAGTTGATATATAAACACGGTATCTTATGATATAAATATTCAATATACTGTCTATGCACAAAACTTAAACGCTTTCGTCTAACATTTATTTCTTTGTGTCTGATGCGTAAACCAGTTTACAAAGAAGATGGAGATAGAGATGGAGATGAAGATGAGAATATTCAACTTTGATAGTGAAAGGTGGCAAGTATCTGGCCTTCTTTTTAGATTTTTCTTTCTTGTCACCCCCTTTTGAGTTGTTGAAAGACATGACTTAATTATTGTGGGAGGTTAATTTTTTTAAACATATAATAGAAAATTAGTACTGTTGTCTTTCATTTACCTATAGGTGCTGACTTTATGCAGCAATCATACAGGTTTCTTTTATAATTTTCTTTTCTTTTTCAACTTTGACTAGTTTATGGTCAATTATTTCCTCTTTCATATAGCAGTGGATTCAGAATTTCTAATTATTTCCTCTTTGATAGTTCCAGGATTTCTAATTATATCCTCCGCTCCATAGAGGAACACAAATAAATCGCTCCAGTTATACCCAACGTTATGACCTAACACTATCAATTAAGTGGAGCAATAATCATGAGAAATCATAGTTCAAATTTTAATAAAGATAGTAATAAATTAGTAAATGATTTCTTTTATTTGCGTAAGTTCTCGTGGATGAGTTACTTGACACTTGCACTGATGCAAAAATACTAAATATCAGTGTAATAATAGTACGTTGTGGTTAATTTGGTGGTTAAACTATACTGGTTTTTAATTTCAACATCATGATAAATGGACGCAAATAAAATAAAATTGATGTACTTTTCTCAAACAACGCAAGTAACAGCCTGTACGCAGCATGCATATTATACTCTATTATTGACCTTAACCAAAAAAAATTTCAAAAAAATAAAATCTTGTTACCACTGTCTCCTAAAACCTCAATTTTGTTATAGATTTCAGAGCTTTCATAAATGATAGTATGCTATTAAGGAATATTTTTATTCCACTTACAGTTGGGCTCATAGATTTCATGAAATTACGTCGATGGACATGTGCTGTTTGACTTAAACTATTTCTCCCATTCATTTTTACTTGTTACATCTTTTTAAAGTAGATTTTTATTTTTTTGACAAATAAAAAAAATAATATATTTTTTCCATATTTTACCCTTATCACTAAATATTATTCCCCAATTTTTTTTCAAAACTTAATAGAGTACTTAACATCATTTAATAGAGATAGTATTGTAAAATACATATATCAATAATTATTTTCTTAATTGATGTGTCAAGTCAAATAATGACAAGTAAAAATGGATGGAGGGAGTACATTTTTAATTTGTTTCAATGTAAATTACTTTCTTTATTTCAAAATAAGTGTTGCTTTAAGAAAAGAAAAACAGATTGTCCCCAGATAAGTACCGTTTTAAAAATTTAAGACGAAAAATAGTAATTTATTACAACTATACCTTTATATTAAATAATAGAGCTGGCCGAAAAATGAAAAGTAGAAAAGAAAATTATAAGGTGAAAAATCAAATCTTCGTCCGATAAAAGTTCATATAATCAATCAATTAAACTATATATATAACATTTTGAGAAGTGAAATATATGAAAAATTGGTAGACTTCTTAGATCTCCTGCACAGGGGTCCTTCTTTCATTTTTGGAAGACCAAGTGCAATGTACCTACTAATTTAGGAGGGTTAAATAGACGGGTTAAATAAAATTAAGATTGATTAAAATATGTTCACGCATTAACAATATTTAATGCATCATAACCCTTCTAATTACCTAATTTAAATCTATTTTCCATTCATTTATTTTTATTTTAAAATGTAATTATGTAAAAATAAATTGCTAAAATAATGTACTGTACATCAAAGTTGTAGAATTTATAACTTAATTCCAAAACCAATTCGTTTGTTGACTTTTAACAAAACTACAGCAAAGTTGTAGAATTTATAACTTAATTCCAAAACCAATTCGTTTCTTGACTTTTAACAAAACTACTCCTTTTTAAAATAATTAAATTGTTGAGCCAATACACACTCATTAAGAAAAAAAAAGTTTACAACATAAAATAAAGAGCAGTTTTCACATATATTAAACATAAAAATCATATTTGTATGTTATAGCTATAGTTTGCATAATTGCGCTCCATAACAAATTTTATTTTTGTTATGGAGCTTTTGATTTGTATAATTCGCTAGATACATCCAATTTTGTACAAATTATTCAGTTTTGTATAAATTCATTTATACATTATAATTTGTATAATAAGATCTGTATTTGTATAATTGTAAGTGTATAGGACGAAAATATATATATTTGTATATACATTTTTCTTCGCTTTATACAAACACAAACACATTTTATACATTTGTATACCGAATGGGTAATTGTATACCGAAAATGACTAATTGTATACCGAACCAGATGGCAAAAAAATGGAATGTTTGTTGCGAATTACAAATAAAATAAACTATGACTATAACATCTAATTTGAATTAATAATTTGCTATTTCATACAATTTTCCCTAAAATGACATCATTTTCCACTTGTGTCTATAGCAGTCAAAATGAGCTTAGCCCATGGGGCCGGCCCAACCCAACCCCTTATTGGGGTAGGGTTGAGATAAAAAATTCCAAGCCCATTTGAAACTAGGGCTTATAAGCCCAATTCATATAAGTCATTGGCCCTTGAGGCTTGATGAGAGTTGGGCCGTGGTCGGTCCATGGGCCAAAACTATTTATTTAGAGGTAACATACAACAATCTCACTAGTTTATGAGTTAATTACTTAAATGCACGTTATGTTGTAAAATTATGAATCTTACCAGATTTTGGTACTTTCAAACAAAGGCGAACCCATGATTTGAAGATGACGGGTGCACCACCAACGGTAATGCACGTTAGTTAAAATATGTACCCAATATTGATTTATAATTTTATTAAACATAAAAATACAAAACTACGATATTCATGTATAAATAAATTAAATGACTCTAGTAGATAAAGTTTGTTTTGTGGAGTGGTGGATTTAAATTTCACTTTGCACCATGAGGTCGCAAGTTCGAAACTAGCCATCTCCCTATTTTATTCGATATTTTTAAACTTCATAGCTAAAAATGAAAAAAAAAACAAGATAATCAGCAAAATGAGATTCAAACTTTCTCGGTCCCTTCCTCAATGAAGTACAACGTCTAAACTAGCTAACCCAATTGGCTTTTGTGAATTTCGGTGCCTAATAAAATATATCTATATTTTAAAGTGTGTATATATACATAATTTTTCGAAGTTAACGGGTGCACGTGCACTCTCAAAGGATACACGTGGGTTCGCCTCTACTTCTAAATACATGTATTTCGGAACACATGTACTCAAAATTAGGTGAATTTGTTCTAGATACACTCTATCCAAGTGTATTCACATGTATCTAGGATATATAGACAAATAACGCACCCTCGCCTCCCTCTCATCTCGCTCACGTATCTGGGATTCATCACACTAGATACTGTATCTCACGTATCCAGTATCCTAGATACATGCTAATCACACTAGATTTTTTGCTAGTGTTATTGAAATAACATCATTATTTGCCACATTTGATTAGAAAATCTTCTCATTTTTTGATGTTATAAAATTTTAAGTTTGGAAAGAAAAAAAGAAGGGCTAGCCTGCCCCAACCCTCAACCCTTCTAGGTTTGGGTTGGATCAAGAATTTTCAGGCCCTTCCAAATAAAGGGTCGACCTACCCTAGCCCATCAAATTCCTTGACCCCCGAGTCTTGAGTCAGCTCTTTTTGACAACTCTTGTGTCCTTTCAGATATTCTCAAATTATTATTGAAAATATAAATAATTCAAAGTAAAATCATAAATATGAGCGATTAACTCTCTTGAAATTGTCATCTAGAAGATGCAAATCAGAGGCAAAAATGAAAAAAAAATAAAAATTTACAAC